CTATCCAATTCTAGAACTTTGCTTCATCTTCCCTAGTAGACCCTTCATATGCATTAAACAGTAACACCTCTTTCCACTTCTCCTGCTACCTGGCTAATGCCATTCGTTCTGTCTCTGAATTTGATTACTTTAGGGGCATCTTAAATAATGTAGGAGCATCATAAACAATAAGTAATACAATAAAATATTTGGTTTGGTTTGGTTTTTTGTGATTGACTTGATTCCCATTATATAATGTCCTCAAGAGTCATCCAAGTTGTAGCATGTGTCAGAATATCTTAGTTTTTTAAGGCTAATTAAATATTCTAATATATGTGTATATGTACATATATATTACATTTTGTTTATCTGCTCATCTGATGATGAAAATTTGTGTTGCTACTACTATTTGGCTACTTTGAAAATAGTGCTATGAGTATACAAATATTTATGTGAACTCCTGCTTTCAGTTCTGTGGGGTACATACACAGAGGTAGAAATAGTGAACCAGATAGCAATCCTGTTAATTTTCTTAAGGAACCACCGCACTGTATTCCATAGCAGCCATGCCATGCCATTTTACATTCTTAACAGCAGGATGCAAGAATCCAAGTTTCTCCACAGCCTCATCCAGTGATTTTTTTTAATAATAATAAAGATTCAAGCCTGGGAGTGGCAGTGTGCACCTGTAATCCCAGCACTTGGGAGGCTGAAAACAGGAGGATCACTACGAGTCTGATCTGTGTAGTGAGACCCTGTAGACCCTGTACTAAATACATTAAAATGAAAAAATTCCTGGCTTGGGCCAGCCAAAGTTCAAGGGATTAAAATGCCTGCTTAGACAGATGCACAGAATGGGAGTTTGATCTTTTAGCCTGCTGTACCAGCCCCACCCCTGGGGCATGCTGAGAAGGTGATTGAGACTGGATGTGGGGGTGTGTGCCTTTAATCCCAGAACTTGGGGGGCTACAGACAGAAGGATCACTACAAGTCTGATCTATGCAGTGAGCCCCTGTACACCCTATCCACCCTGTACACCCTATCCACCCTGACCTAAATACAAAAAAGAAAAGAAAAATTCCTGGTTTATAGAATTTGTGTGAGATAAATAAATGTCTTAAAAAATAGAGATTCACTAGATCTTTGGTGAAATTTCTGTATGAATCATTTGCCCATTTAAAAAGTGGATTTTGTAGACCCAGTCTTACCCAGGCCCAGTGAGTGTGTGGGAGAGCTTCCGGCTACCCTGCGCCGGCAGGACCTACTACTGTTCCCAGCCCAGGCACAGCATGGGTGAGACCCTTTTCCACCCCCTTGGGATTCCCCCCACCACATGACAGCACCTCCCCAACCCCGGTCGCTGAGTAGGAATTTCTGCCGCCTTCTGGGAACCCCTAGACCCAGTCCTAGCCCAGGTCTGGTGAGTGTGTGGGAGAGCTTCCTGCTACCCTGCACCGGTGGACTACTAATGGTCCCAGCCCAGGCGCAGCATAGGTGAGACCCTCTTCCACCCACTTGGGACGCCCTCCACCACTCCACAGCACCTCCCCCAACCCTCCCTCTGAGTAGGAATTTCTGCAGGTTTCAGGGAACCCCCAGACCCAGTTCTAGCCCAGACCCTGTGAGTGTGTGGGAGAGCTGCCTCTCCCAACTACTCCACCTTGTCCCCTCCAGGCTCAGCTCAAGCTTGGCATACATGACTGCATTGTAACCCTGCACCTGCAATCCCTGCAGAGAGTGTAGACGATAGACCCACCCAGCTAGTCCAGGAGCAGAAAATCTTGCCAGAGGGGCACAATAGGTTCACCCTCAAGGGCAGCAGCAGGAAGGAGCTGAGCACAGCAGCCAGACCTAAGCCAGACACAACTGGATAAATCCAAATTATGTAGATCTGCACCTGAACTTTAGTACGTGCTAAGGTTATAACTACAACGAAGATCTACAACAAAGTTCAGAAGACAGTGCTACACAAAATGATGAGAAGAAACAAAGTGCAATCTCAGAAACCAAGCCCACCCATACCAAGTGCAGAGGACACTAACACAGAACAAATTGGGAATCACAGAGCTGAAAGCAATGAATCAACGGCTTCAGAAATAAAGACACAGCTGCAGAAAGGTATAGAGGAACTCAGATTGGAAATAAAAAAAGAAATCTCTGATTTAATAACATCTGCAGTAAAGAATCAAATGCAGAAACATATGGAGGAAACCCAATGCCCACCCAGAACGAGTGCAGAGGACACTAGCTTGGCTCAAATGCATGAAGTAAGAACGTTGATAGTAAATAAGCAACAGCAGAAAGTTATAGAGCAAATCAGAGTGCAGTTCTTTTCTCAAATAAAAAAAGAATTCTCAGAATTCATAGCATCTGAATTAAAGAAGCAGCTACAGAAACATAGGGAGGAAACCCAATCTGAAAAAAAACCACTGCAGTAAAAGAATTTATAACTGATTCTAAAGAAGACATTGATAAAAAAATAGAGGAAATTAGAAAAATGATAGATTCCTTGAATGAGCAATACAGGAAAGAAATAGATCTCATGAAGCAGAGTCAAAAAGATATAGAGGAAATTAAAATCTCAATCACAAGCTTGCAAAACTGCTTAAGTGAAAGTGAAGACAGAGTTTCAGATCTTGAAGATGCTGCTGCAGCTAGTGAAAAGGTAAGAAAGGATGTCTTAAAAACAACGAGGATGCAGGAAAGAATAATCCTTCACCTGAAAGATGATGCAAAGATGAACAATGTGAGACTA